TCTTGTTCTTACTGGTTTCAAAAGTGACGACGGTGTGCCGGGCGCGCGCCCCAGGGCCTAGGGGCCTAGGCCCTAGGGCCGAACAGTCTCGGACGTTGTATCGTGCCTAACTACTACTACTACTACTACTACTACTACCGTCATGTTGAGGCTGCCGGCTCCAGACCAGGAAATTTCCGGAGCGCATGAATGAGTACTTCCCAAGAGCACTGCCCTATGACCATCTGTGCACGCTGCTCGCCGCCCCGGCCCGAGTTCCGGGGTCGGCGGCAGCGGCGGCAGCCCTTAAATAATCCGGCCCTATGCCATCCCAAGTGATCTAAGAAAGTGCAAGGCGAGTGGATGAAGTTCATGAACATGTTGCCTTCTCAATTAAAACTCCGCTGCAAGTACGAAATTCCCAGGCTGGAACACAACAATAAATCCTCTACAGTCAAGATTTTTCGGCCTCAAATACCGTTCTTGGAGGTAGCGACCTAGAAAATGCTTTTGCTGGAACACATGGAGAGGCCTGAGGGCTCCAGAGCGCTTTTGCTGAAGCAACTGAAGCGTGTTCAAAGCTCCTAAAACTCTTTTGATTGCTAAAGCGAGTAGGCAGGCCTAAGAGCTCTTGCGAAAGCAAGTCGAGAAGCCTGAGGGCTGTAGAATGCTCTTGCTTAAGCCATTTGGGAATGCTGAGAGCTCCAAAAGAAATTGCGAGAGCAATTAGAGGCCTGAGAACTCTTGCGAAGCGATTGGAAAGGCCCGAGGGCTCTGAATGCTGTTCCTAAGCAGCGAGAGAATGCTGAGAACTCCCAAAATGCTACTGAACGTTTGGAGACATTGTAGCTGATCGTCATAGGCACCCTTTCAAAATGCCGGTTCATGTTCTTCAGACCCTTGTGCTGACTGCGCGTGCAGACCATCCGAAGTAAACTCGCAACCATTTGCATGATCACTTCTTCTACGAATGCTTGGCTTCCCTGCATAAACCGGCATGCGCGGGGGCTCACTGCATTTTGGAGAAACTCCTGTGTTTAGGGCCTTTAGGAGTTTGCGGTGAGTTTGGGGCCGGAGGCCCAACATCATCAGTGCCGTCCGTGGCCAGAGGCGACAAGTGGTTTCTCGGTCCAACCTCAAACCTTGCACCCCACTTGATACGCCCACAACATCTCTTCTGAAGTTTGAAAACATCGGAGGGCCACGAAATGCCTACACATCTGTTTAGGCAGAGCTGGCTGAGGAATTGAGGCCACGGCAACCTGACAGGTCGATAACCAGTCCTGGTGCTACAGGGCCATGTATCCATGCTGGAAGTCAGGAATGTTGCCCTCGGGGTCCGGGGCTTTGGTTGCTCTGATCCGCCGTTCATAGCTCTTCAGCCTTCTTTTCAGCGCTGGCTCTGAGGAAGGTGCCTTTCATGTACAAAAACCTCAGGCTTGGCGCAAGAGGCGGAGAAATAGTTATGCAAGTATTCAGCCTGCTTGCATGTTTTGGGGAGTAGGGGTGTTTCGCTCAGTCATTCCCAATTCCCTGGAAGGTACAGCATGGACAGACTGGGACTCCTCAGCCCTGTCCTGCACAAATTCACAAGTGCTTTCTGCTCCCACTTGATTAAACGCAGGCCCCAGGTTCGACGGCTTAATCAAAATATTAAAATACTAGCAATAAGAAGAATAGTAGGAAAAAAGAATACTAATAGTATAATAATGATACTAAGGATCCTGCCATCCTACTTGGAGGACGTAAATATTTGCACGTGGGGCTTTGAATCCCATGATTCTAACTACTCTAAGAGAAATTTCCATTATCCCAATATAACTCTCCTATATAACCCCTATATAACCTTACATAAACCTATATAACCCCTATATAACCCCCACGTCCCCTCGAACAACTTCTTGAAGCTGCTTGCAAGGGGCTGATTGGAAGTTGCTGCAAAACCTTTGATGGATTACACCTACGAGTGGTGTGTCCTTAGGATGATTGCTTGCGTGCAAGCCAGGCATATAGGAAGTGTCGTTACGCAAGCTTGCTACCTTGAACGCTCAGTAGGAGTGAGTTCCAAGCATTGACATCAAGAGCATGTCAACGGATCAAAATGGGATGCTGTTCTTTTCTAGGTGCGAAGCCCTGACGCATCACACCGACATCCAAAACAGAGGGCCTGCAAGTGATCTGCCATGTAAAATGTGAACCCCAGGCCCTTGACAACCAGAGAGCTATCCGACCACCATCTTCCGCAGCGACCAACTAGTGAACCCTTGTCAAAGGAATCCAACGCCCCAATAATCCCACAGAACGCATCGAATGCATCCAAGCAAAACTGCTAGCCCCTTCAAGCCCTTCAAACTCGGAATTCGGAACCCAAAACCTTCAAAACCACAACATTGGAGGCATTCCTGGCTGGAGGCTTTACTGCAGATTTCAGTCAACTTCTCATGACAGGAACCCTCCCGTAGCTGCACCATGAGGCACCCCTCTGCATCATGAGGGCTTACCTTCAATGCGCAGGATCGCCCTCGTGGCTGCTGACAAGACCTGCCGCAGGCGGCCGTAAGATACAGGGTTTCGGGCTCAGGGTTGACGAGGAGCCTGGAAATATTGTAAATGCGGGAATAGCGGAGGAAGGTTGCTGCAGGCTTCGTACAGTAGGGAGTTACAAGGTTGACATGTAGGGCTAGCGGTTTTTAAGATGTTATTGGGAGCTGCTTTGCTGGGTGTCTCAAGATCTTGGCATTTTGGTAGGGGCCTTCTGTTCAGGATGCACTGGAGGGCAGAGCCCATGTTGACACTTGGGTAATCCTCTGCGTTGTGCTGAGGTTAGCCCAGATCCCTCTCAACTTAGCAAAACTCCCCGTTACTGTCATTTCGCCCAGAGCCGAATAATTATTATGGACACAAGCCGGATCAGTCCAGTTTGTTTGGATTTCAGGCAGCTGACCGCTTCTACTAGCACGCTCTCAAGGATGTGGATCAAACGACCTGAGATGGCGAGTCTAAAAGGCTAGGCTACAGGACTGCTTGGACAACTGGCTGCAGATTTCTAATGTTTCTAACGCAGAGCAACGCGAGTGGTACGTAGCTGGTGACTTTTTGCACCCAGGACTCTTGAGTATGCCGGGCTTGCAAGCTGGCTATCTCAAGGCGCGCAGGTTCAGTGGCTAGTCCATCACCTGCATTCGTCACGTTCTCAGAGGCTTAGCCTCAGTCGCTGAGAACCGTGCTCGTGACACACCTCACAATCAAAGCCAGAGGCCCCTCACACGCCTATCCCACCACCTCAGCTTGTACCAGGACGGGTTCTTCTGTGGGCTCTCCTGCGTGTGGAGCTGCGGGCTGTATTCTCTTTTCGTCTACTAGTACAAAGCCGTGTGCTACAAGCTTGGCGAGCGGTGTTGCGCAGACCAGAAGCACCGCGGCGCACACGATTTCGAGGACGTCCACAACGCTCCACAATGCGTTGGAGGAAATAGCGATGCTGGAGGAAATGATCACAAGAGCAAGTCCAATGTATCCGGGCACGTTTCTCAGGTGTAACTGCTTGCACGGTTGCTCCACGTTGTGCGTCCGGCTATAGAGGTACCGGGAGAAAAAGATTGCCAGCGCTATCATATCAGAAACCAAGGAAGACCAGAAGAGCATAGAGCCCATTGGCCTGCCCGCAGCTCTGGTTTCTACAAGGAATGCCAGCATGACACTCACGGCAGCTAGAACTCCAACCGTACTAACTAGTACGAAGAAGATCAGCTGAACTCCATAGCTCTCCGCGAAGTAGTCGCAGGTACATTTGCAGTCATCTGGATCCTCTGCATCATCTGGCATGGCGCTCCGCCAATTCACTACCCGTCGTGAAGGCAGAGTTCTCGCTGAGCCGGAACGGCTCTGAAGGTGCTCGATACAAATCCGAAGCAGAACCATGATGTGTTTGATCCCGCTGAAGTAAAGAACATCCGGTGGGCTGAACAAGCGGAACCAAAGAGCGCAGGCCACAACATCACGCCCTCCCTTTTGGCAGAAGTGCCTGCAAGCACATGCAGATACATCCTGTGATGCCCATCCCAACTGAGATGATGATCCTCTGATGCGACTTACTTACTCACTTACTTCTTGCTTGCTTTTTCACTTACTTACTTACTTACTTACTTACCTACCTGCTTACTTGCTTGCTTACTTGCTTGCTTACTTGCTTGCTTGATTGCTTACTCGCTTACTTGCTTAGTTTACTTACCTTACTTACCTACCTACTTACTTACTGACGGAAAAGGAACAAACGAACGAACGAAAGAGCGAACTAACTAACTAACCAACTAAATACTTTCTTGCTTACCTCCCTACTTTTTTTTACCTACTACTACTACTACTACTACTACTACTACTAACAACAACAACAACAACAACAACTACAACTGCTACTACTACTACTACTCCTCCTACTACTACTCCTCCTCCTACTGCTACTGCTACTGCGACGACGAGGACGAGGACGACGAGGACGACGACCATCACCATCAAAACTGACTAGCACGATTTGTAGCTGGACCATTCCCTCATTATACTACCACTTCTTCTCCCCGTGCTACAACTTGTACTCGTCTTGCAATTAGGAATCCTGTTTTGAAAAGCACCTGCGGTCCAGCGCCAGTTCCAGCTGCATCGAGCAGCTGCAATCGCCCCACCTGACTCCAACATTGGAGATGTATGAGCGTGAACTGCAGTCCAGAGGGACTTTGAACTATGAGGAGGGGGCTTACGGCTTGTGGGGGAGGACTTCAAGATTTGCGTTGGGTCTTCCTGGGGCCCAGATTGACGGAATCTGTTCTGGCGCCTTTGCAGCTGGACCTGGTTAAGTGTGAGCGATATGTGCTGTGGGCAATGCAGCTGCATGCCCCCAACGCATGGGAGAGTCTGAAGCCAATCCAGCTTGAACTTCAGACTTACAGGGTCACTTCTTGTTGGAAGCTCCCTGAGCTTTTCATGTCAAGAACAAAGCGCAAACAATGTTGCTGTTGGGTCAACTTGGCTCAGTTGTTTGGTGTTCGTGCTTACAGAAATCCAAGACATTAGGCTCCACCTTGCCGCTAACCACATCTCGGTTGAATGCCCATGATGGCTGGCACCACGGCCTGAAACTGGTGCTTCGCTGTGACTACTTGGACGCTCTTAGCTTGAAGCGGATGATAAAAGTAGGAGCTGGCTGCAAAGTGCTCAGGATTCATTTGTACTTCGGCTCTTCTGCCGATAATGTGATACTTGGGATTTGGAAGGCAGATTTCATGAGCACACGAAGGCATTGAGAGTAGCCAACTGTGAGTATGTCTGCGCACCTTTGGCCCAATGCGCGCCAGTGCTCGCAGCAGCGTTGAGATTTCACCTCGCAGAAGTAAGAGGTCGAACCCTTGCACAAAATGCTGCTACGATACTTTTTACTGTTATCCTTATGTACTACTACTGCTTCTACTCCTGCTATATTATATTACTTCTACTTCGACTACGGCGGCAGCTGCTGCAAATAACAATAAGAATTATTCTTAGTAGTTATCGTCGTCGCCACCGCCGTCGTCGCGGTGGTCGCGGCCGCGGCTGTGGTGGCCAAAGCATGCACTCCACAAGTTTTCTCAATGTCCAGAATGAGTTTGTGATTCCCAGGCCTAAGCCTTCAAAATTCCTCCCCCTCAGCTGCTTGTGCTGTAGCCCTGCTCGATCAGCTTGAAGACGCTAAGCAGAGGAGACGATACTACACCCTCTGTGAAGTATCCGCTATGGCAAGCCAAAATCCAAGCAAAAGCTCTACATGCCCATTGACTGAGCGGGCGGCCGCTGCTGATCTTCGGATTTAAGGCCAGGCTGAGCTCCTTCTCTACAACCCCAACAGGGCAGCTGGTCAGAATGGATGGAAGGAGAGATGCACATATTTTGTGCTCCTGAGTACTTGTTTGCAGGCAACCTCCGACGTGTACAGAATAGCTGGCTGCAAGCCGCGTAACAGGGGCGTAACAGCCCCACACGGTTCGGAGAATGGGGGGCCTTCAGTTCAGCGTCCTCCGTAAGACACGCGGCCCCACGGGCCTTGTGCTACAGTAATTCGCTTCCTCAAGAACAAGCCCTCGACCCAGGCTGGGCCTGGGCTTGCTAGAAGCAACACTCTCGGAAGCTTGCGCAAACATGAGACCTAGGCGACCCTTATTTGCCGCTTGCTGTCTTGGGTGGCCTGTAGGGCAAGCTCACCATGCACCAAACAAGGTCTGTTTAGGCAGGCGCTTGACCGGATGGTGTTCCTCTAATGTCCGGGCTGATTCAGGCTAGGGCAGTTGGACTCTCGAGGATTGCGGAGAGGGCTCCTGCAAAGAGTGGCTGCCGGTGGATCCAAACAATTCCTGGGCCAGCAGTGCATGATTCGATGCAGGTGTCCGAAAGCTTTAAACTGGCATATGTGCGACGATGCAGGTCTGCTCCCACTGCCAATGCATAGCAAAAACAAGAACCACTTCCATGTCATGCAGGCCTCGATCCAGCTGAACTGAACTGCAGAAGAGAAGGTGTGGACATTGGTTTGGGTGATGGGGGCCTGATGTGTCTTGAGGAAACCGAATAATCATGCCCCGCCTCCACTAACAAGCACTATTTGATGCTCACAAATGAAACTTTCTAGTACCATAGAGACAATAAGGATGGAGGAGATTACTCGAAATAAGTCTTTGCGCGTTCTAGGTCCCCGATCAACAAGACTTGCCTCATGATTGCTTTGAGGACCGTATGCCGGATTGCCACGTTGGCTTGAATGTGGTTAATACTCTAAGGGCGCCGTCAGCTTGGAAAAGTTCGCTCCGCTGCAAGGCACGGGCTGTACATGAATGTGCTACCGAGCAGGCATTTCGGGTGATCGCTTACAGGTGCAACAATGCAACAACCACCCGGGAACAAGCGGCTAGCGCACAACCATTCCCTGTTGCCTTGGGACTTTTGCTAGGGATGCTGGGAGCTTCATGGATCTGAGCTTGTGAAGCTTAGATGATTACATGCGTACGTACCGTGAATGCGAGAAGGGAAGAACGTCTTACCGCGACCGAGCGCCAGCTCAACTCACTGCCTTGACCCCTGTGCGCCCTACAGTCCCTACTTGCACGTGAACCTTCAATCCTGTACTACCCCATGTAATCTCAATCTCGTTCGTCTCTACGCGGTCCCTGCCCGAAGGTACACTGGTTATGCGGTCCCTGCCCGAAGGTGCACTGGTAGCCAACGTGAAGCTACAAGCGGCCAGATCTGGCTTTTCACCCTAGCCATTGTCCTTAATCAAACTCTAGTTTGCTCCCGAATAACAAGCCACCGCCTAATAATCAATATTCCTGCTAATACATATCGGTACTCTATTGAAGGTGTTTATTCTTAGGAGGAGGGGATTGCAGCCCTGCTCATGGCCACCCATGAGGTACAAGTGATTGATCTCGGGCAGCTGCAGCCAGGAGGGACCCGCAGGGGTGGCCCAAGTCGTTATTGGCCATGGACAACCACCTGCAGGAGCCGGGGGACTTGGCAACTAAGTTTCGAGCATGCGGAGTTCTTGAAAACACAAGTCCCCCTACAGCGGGATCATGTTGAGAAACCTTCATATATATATATATACCTAAACCTAAACCGGGTATAATTTCGATTTGAGGCAAGCATAACATGGCGGTGCTCGTGCAAACTTTGTGTTCAAACTTGATCCATAGCTGCAAATCTTTTCGAAACAGCAGCAAAATATCTTAATTCGCACGCACTTGCGAGAAGGATCCATCCATGGGCAAGAACTCGGAAACTTCAGAAGCTTGTCTGACGCGTCCCAAAGCAGCAAGACTTCAGCCAGTGGAAAGGAAGCCAGCAATCCGAACAGCAAACGGGCTAAGCATAGCTGAAGAACAAGAAGGCCTCTGTTGCGAAATATTTTTACACAGCTGTAGCTACGGACTGTCGCAAGACCCTTACGCCCATGCATGCCAACGAGGGGTGCAGTACTCGCCGTTGCTGCAGCATGCCATTTTTCGTTACTGGACGCAGCTTGCATGTGCGCAGCAGCTGTTTCACTTTCTGGCAGCAAGCGCCGGTCCAGGTTGAAAGTCACTTCCTCAGCAGAGCCGCAGAAGACTTTAGCGGACAGGGCGAAGGCTGAAAGGGTTAGTTTGAGCACAACATGAGAGTCTGCGTGTTCAGTAGGGAAGTCATGGAGGGAAAAGGGACAGCAGCTCCTGTAGCTTTGCCCATGCATTCTAGAAGTAAGTTTTATGCACGACGCTTTTACCTCCCAAGCCATATTAAGACGACGTTGCTTTCACGTGGAACTCATCTCTGTAGCAATCTGAAGGACAGGCTTGGCTGCTTTCGACGTGTTCGTGTGTGTGTGTGTGTGTGTGTGTGGTTGCACGGACACTTATCACTTGCAATTTTCTGCCTTGGCGAGACAAGTGCCAAATCTGACGGCCTGCTATTTTGAAGCCGTCTTTTCTTCTCGCATAACCTTCACATCGTTGGTCGAGTCGACGGCACTCTTGTGAGCTGTGATCTTGTGACCCTTCTGTAAGCAGCCCTGTCAGACCAAGTGCTCTCATCCCAGAGACCAAAGGAAGAAGAGCCGGCACACATACTACCACAATCAAAAGAGCACGCCTGCCTGGACCAACCAATGTTTGCACCACATTCGATTGGGACTTCATCATGATTATGAAAGGGGTTGCTTTTGCAGGAATCTGTTGTTTGCAAGACCGTGGAGCCCCTCCCGTGGCCCCGGCTGTCGTGAACCTCTCAGTCCAATAGCCCTTTAGAATGGCTGAAGCCTGAAGCCTCAAACAGTAGACCGTACAGGATGGCATGTCCAACTGCGAGCGTGCCCAGTTACGAATTCCCACATTTTGCCTTTCAGAGAAAAAGGCGGTCACTGAAGCAACATCCTAACTTTCAAATATGAACGCGAAACCCGAATAAAGGGTCTGAAAAGTACTAAGCAAACGCAACACGCGGATATAATCCGCAATCATCCCGATGGCCTGAGACTATCCAAATATTGTGGAGAAATCCATGGGAACAGCGAGGCTCTTGAAGTTCTTCAACAGATTCTCTCGAGGCTCGCGTTGCTCCACAACCTGTCAAATCGAACGGTAACCGACCCTTATCTTCGAGCAGTCTAGGTTTGCTGCTCTGCGATTGTAGGGTTTGGGCGAGAAAGTTGGCCAGCCCAACTCCATTTCAAATGCCCAAGTTGCTAAAGCTTGGCGTTCTGGAATATCAGACATGTGACTACTGCTCCGAACCGGCGCCGACGCCACAGTCTTGATCCCAAGCCCGACGACGACCTATGTCCCACCTCAACTACCTATGTCCCACCTCAACTACCGTGCACCTACGTCGTAAAGCTTTTTAGGTTGTATGCTATAACGTATCCCTGAACCCGTGCTGGCCCGAATTCCTAGAAGGAAGCCAGTGATTCATGAAGCACAGGTTCTTAAGCCTAGACAAGGTTGACGAAGACAAAAGCAAAAGCATGCAGCAAAGAAAACAAACTGCAGCTATGGGGAGGTTTGGGAGTCGAAGTGAGGGGTATGAGAGCACAATCAACTTTTGATTGGTGTTGTTCAAAAAATCCCTCTCAACCCTAGTCAGCTGAAATCAAAGTCATAGGTTCCTGTATAGGAGGAGCCTCCTTGTGTCTTGCCCTCTGTGACCCTGGAGATCTTCTTAATAACAACACAGCACGCCTTCCTCAATTATTGCACCTGCCCCTTCAAATAGAACAACACGCATTTCTTGCATAACGCCCATGGAAATCATCCTTCTAAACACATGGCATCCTTCGTCCAATGACTTGCTAAGTCCGGTCTCTTAAGCTCTGGGACGAAGGGGGAAGCATCCGGAGACTCTTCGCCGAACCCAGAAAAATCCAGCTTTCTCAAAACACGTAGTCCGTTCTTGAGCTCCTACTTTTCGGGCCATGCAAAGTACCCCGTCCGTGTCAGAAACACCGCTAAATACTTACCACGAAAACCCTTGTGCTGCTTCCGGAAGAGAGAGGAGCGGATTCCTAAAACGGTACCTGTACAATCACTTATGATCTCATACCTAGTTTCAACCCTCATCCCACGTAGCTTCAATTCTCTTTTCAACTCCTCCAGGCGCCTGTGGCGGTTGACGGCCAGGAGCCTGGCTGTCCGGCTGAGGTAAACTCGCGCGTAGGCATTATACGGTTGATTTCGTGGTAAGATAGGGCTCACATAAGCATGAGTAAGGTGTTGGGTTTAAATTCAGGTTACAGGGGTTCCACGAAATAGGGTCCGTTTAAAACGTTTATAGGGCTTATATAGGAGTATCTAGGGTTTACATATGGTTTAGGGTTTCAACAACAATTGGGGGTCCCTTTTTTGGGTGTCTCCGCAAGTAGCGCTACATCCTAAACCTTACAAGGACTCCGTCATTTTGGGCTACAGAGAAGGCGCCTCTCTTTTTGGAACTGAGTGAGGTCCCTAGACGCTTAGAAGAAGGCTTTGGGGGCCCTACGAAACGGCTCCCGAGGTTACAAAGTGTTTGGGTTTTCGGGTGTAGGGGCCTAGATGCATAGAAGAGCGGACAATCAAGCGGAAAAGAAAATGGAACATGAAATGGAAACTGTAGGGTCTGGTGTAGGGGATTGTAACCCAGAGTTCGAAACAAGTGGAATAGGGTGTGCGAGCATTCATTATTGCAATTCTCCAACGAGCATCATAGGATATGATAACAGGACTATAACAGGAATAATAATAACAAAGCCGAGCCCCCTGGGCAGGAGGAGCCTGGACTACCACGGCGGACTTCCCGCCGCGAATTCGTCGTGGCTTCTTGGGCAGCTCCTCTTTTTGCGGAGTATGAGGAGGTTTACTAGTATACTTATACTTATAACTATTACTATTATTCATATTACCATTACTACGATTATTACTGCTGCTATTATTACTAGTGCTTACTGCGGTGGAAGGCTCAGGGCGGGGGCTTGCGCGGAAGCAGTCGCCATTGCTAACCTATAACCCCTGAACTCGAGCTCCTTATCCTGACAGCCCCAACCCCTAGAGCGCGCCAAAAGCCCGAAGCAAATCCTCGCAGATCAGAGGTTCAGCTCAGAGTGCAGATGTCAAGCTACAGTGTGTGTGTCCGTAGGGGTTAAATTGCCCCTCACAGCATGAATCAAAACCAGGACTGAACCCCTAAGACGCAGCCATCTGGCATACTGCCGTTCTCGAAAGCATGGCAGCTAGCTACCCCAAACCACACGAAACCCACCTGGTTACTTAGACTGTATAGGGATAATATTCCCATATTCCCTACTCACCACAAGTAAGGTTAACATGTGAACTTAATTTCTCAGCCGCGCAACCCTTGCGCCTTGATCACTGAAATTGGGGAATCCAGCTTTATGAGGCGAGCCCAGGGCCTACGAAATGATTAGAAATATCATTTTGAGGTTCATCTACCATATACTAGAACTATATCAGGAATATGGAAACATAATATTGGTAATTATTTAAGCCCCTATATTATTCAAGAATGATATTGAAGACCTTATCGCCCTCTGCCCTCCTCTATTTCCTCTCCCCTGGGTTTGCATAGTATCAACCCTAATGTTATCCAGAGTAAGGGACTGTGGTGTATTACCCAGGTATGGCTTAGGCTTTTCCCAACCTGGCTGGCCCCACACATGCAATTCCCCTGCTTTTTCATGATTTTCGATGCACGCGAATTGCTCTCGGGTGGTAGTTGCTCTGGCGCCCACGTCAAAAGGAGGATCCTAGAAAGCACCATTTGGATCTTCAAGCGGAGGCCCCCTCATCATGAGCAGTCAAGCCTTTGCAAGGTGGATGATATTCATATCTAGTTGGGTTGTACATGTCTGGTTCATCATCAGTATATGGTAGACCCCCAAACTGGTAACCCCCCCCCCCATGTTTTGGAGACTCTAAACTCCAAATAGTAATTTCAGCTGTGTTTTCCATTCTCCCCTTATATACCCATTACTCCAAAATTTGGGGAACCCAGTTTATAATGAACACCAAAGCCTTAAACCCTAAACTCTCAACCCTAAACATTTTTCATGACATTGGCATCTCAGGGCTTGGTGATGCAGAGCTCCCAGGGGTAAGTTGAGGATTGGACACAGCATGGGGCCATCAAGCAACAATAATCGTAGTAATTAGTTTAAATATGGCATAGCATAACAATAGTACGAACGATAATGTTATGATAACATTAATATTAACAGGAACGGTGCGTGCGTGTGTGCGCTGGAGTTGATGAGGCGCTATACAGTAAAACTGCTTTGTACACTGAAGCATATGACATAGTAAGCCTCAACCCTCAACATGCCCGATACACCTTCCGGATTAGAATTGGCCGCCGCTACTAAAATGGGTACTTCTTGAATTGGGCCGGTCGCAAAACAAACAGGATACATTTTTCAAACTACGGTATTACCACGGCATGATTTTGAACAAAAGGAATATGGGAGCCTCCGCATC